TAAATAAACACGCTGTCACTAATGTACAATTTTAGGATTGTCAACTTTGATGGATGCTTTTCTACAATGTAAACTTCGATTGTCATCTTGTATTGCAACATCAGCATGATGTGTTTTCTCAAACTAAACTATGCTCAGTAGTTACAATAGAATGATATTTATGTCGATGTTGTGGTTGATGAATGGTTTCTACAATCCAAATTTCTATTTACATCATGTATCACAGCATCAGGTGTGATGTGTTTTCTCAAAGTAGAGTACACTCCAGTAGTTATTACAAGAAATGATGACGTTTATGTCTGCGTTGATAGATACTCCCTCCGTCCCATAATATAAGAACGTTTTTGACACTAGTGTAGTGTTAAAAACGTTCTAATAGCAACCAACAACTACAGAAACAACTACTCCCTCCGTTCCAAAATAGATGACTCAACTTTGTATTAACAATAGTACAAAGTTGAGTCATCTATTTGGGAACGGAGGGAGTATTATTTTGTTGACTCAACCTGATTCTGAAATAGATGTATATATTAACTGCTGACAAACTGCAAATCAATACGCAGTACATCACATATTTTTGCTGCATTCACCTGTTCTTTAACTTTCGCAACCAGAACTGGATCTCGATCAACGCCTGAAATGCCTGCATTGTTTATCTACACATAAAAAAATCACATAATCATGGTGACGAATTAAAAAAAATCGAGACAAACCACTTCTGAATAATCGCCAATAAGAAGTCGATAATCTGAACAGCCAAGTCAAGCTTACAAGATCTGTAAGAACATCATTTCAGCTTTAACTAGTACAAGCCAGGTAAAAGAAAGAAATCTACGGCACCTATACTTCTAAACGGAACTCTTAAATTCATTCTGTAATTATTCAATGCAACAATGTGCTGAGTAAAAATTTCTTCAATGTAATTTTGCTAAGTTCAACTAACACTTAAAGAGTCTGAATAAAATGCATACTTCTATCTGACGAGCTCTCAGTGGAACAGTCAGTATGAATACCCCCTTGCCCGACCCCAAATCCGCGAGGTCTTAATCTTGAAAGCGCAAAGCAGAGACACACAATAACACATACCAGGATATCGAGCTTCCCGAACTGATCCCTGACGAAATCTGCCAGCCGGGCGACGCTGTTAGGGTCGGTGACATCCAACTGATGGAAAACAGCGTCAGCACCGGAGCGCCTGACGTCTTCCACCGCCTCCAGCCCCCTCGCCGCGTTCCTCGCCGTTAGCACGACCTTGAGCCCCTTGGACGCGAGCTGCCTGCACGTCTCCAGCCCGACCCCTTTGTTCCCCCCGGTGACCAGGGCGATCCTAAATCACGCACATAGCAGCGGCGCGACAGAAATCCCAGTAAGTAAATTTGCTGCGAGCGGCGTACGGGAAAGGGGAGGGAGGCGGAGCGATCGAACCTCTTGCTCGACGGATTCGAGGCGGCCGCCTCCATCTTGATCTTTCCCCTCCGACTCGTCGCGGCGCGTCCAGCACTGTGTGAGCTCTGGAGTCGGCAGCCTTGCAGGAGATGATGATACATCCTGCACTTCCACTTTCTTCTCAAACGGCGCCTCTGCTGGGCCTTAGTTAGTTTTTTTTTCTTTTTTTGAGAAAGCTGGGCCTGCTTAGTAAGGCAACAGCCTTGACGTTTGTGCGCGCGGTAATGTGACGGCCTGTTGTTAGTCGGTTTCTGCGTTTTTCTGTCCGTTTTCTTTCTGTTGTTTTTCTTTTTCTTTTCTGGTTCTTCTGTTTCGTTTAATATTTTGCTTTTTTCTTTCCTAAAATCCGCCGATTATTTTAAAAAAATCATGAACAAGTTTTCTAAAATCGTGAGCACTTTAAAATTCATGATTTTTTGTAAATCATGAACAAGTTTCAAATACATATTTAAAAAAAACAAGAACAATTTCCAAATTTAGGAATCTTTTCCAAATATATGAACATTTTTTAATTCAAGAAAAAAATTCAAACTCATGAACATTTTTTGAAACTGCAAACTATTTCAAATTCTTGAATATTTTCTGTAATTCGTAAAAAAATCATGAACATTTTTTGAACTCATTATTTTTTTGTAAAATTCGTGAATCATTTTTTAATTCTTGATTTTTGTTTAATTCAATAATTTTTAAATTCAAGAAGATTTTTTGAACTCATGGAAAATTTATGAATTTGAGAATATTTTTTGAAATTTGATATTTGTTCGAAATCCCTGACTTTTTTAATGAAGCAAAAAAAAAGGAATGGATAGAAAGGAAAAAAAACAGGGGCGCCACCCTCGCACATGGGGGCCCAAAGGCACGCACGTGGGAGGGGGTGCGTTTGGCCGTCAGGCGTCACCCTACGCACGAAATAGGAGGTCCCATGTCTTAATTGGACACACATGTTTCTTGGGTCAAACTGTGACGTTTGGGCCGAATCAGCACGAACTAGATCGATGGGGTCGTCATTCTGTGGAGAGTGGAGTCTATTTTAAACCCTGAGATTTTAGAGCTCCACGGAAATAAACCCCCAAGTTCAAATTGTTGAAATCGGCACCCTTACCTCGCTGATCCCAGTCGTTTTAAACCTTGGGTGTTTTAGGAGTGGATTTGATGACATGGCACCAAGGGCCGGGATTGTTGACTCTAACCAAATTAATGGCTGCCACGTCAGCACTGAAGTGCGGGTGCCGCCTTCTTTCCGATGCACAATGCCTTGGCCTCCATGTACATCATGGTGGGGAATGCCTTGACCACCTTGGTGTCGCACCCGCACATGGCTCGCCATTGATGTCGCCTCACGATGAAGCTCGAGAAGCCGACAACGAGGGGAGAGCCCGCGTGGGTCGGTATGTGCTAGGAGTAGTTGGTGTAGTTGTGACGGGTAGATGGAGGCGACGAAGCAGACGAACACTGCGCCGACGACGGGAACGGCGTGATTGATGATGTTACAACCAACGGGTGCCTCATCTTACCAGAAGTCAGTCTAGGGCCCCTAGGTCATTTATATCAACGGGGATTAAAAGGCCAAGAGGTGGAGGGAGAATTGGGCCACCAAGGCCCAATAGGGGAGGCGCCCCTTTCTGTTGGGGAACGTAGTAATTTCAAAAAAAATCCTACGCACACGTAAGATCATGGTGATGCACAACAACGAGAGGGGAGAGTATCGTCTACGTATCCTCGTAGACCGTAAGCGGAAGCGTTATGAGAACACGGTTGATGTAGTCGAACGTCTTCACGATCCGACCGATCCAAGTACCGAACGCACGGCACCTCCGAGTTCAGCACATGTTCAGCTCGATGACGTCCCACAAACTCCGATCCAGCAGAGTTTCACAGGAGAGTTCCGTCAGCACGACGGTGTGATGACGGTGATGATGTTGCTACCGTGCAGGGCTTCGCCTAAGCACCGCTACGATATGATCGAGGTGGATTATGGTGGAGGGGGGCACTGCACACAGCTTGAAACAATCAACTTGTGTGTTGTAGGGTGCCCCCTGCCCCCGTATATAAAGGAGCAAGGGGGGAGGCCGGCCGGCCCTTGCAGGGCGCGCCAGGAGGAGGAGTCCTCCTAGTAGGAGTAGGACTGGACTCCTCCTCATGGCGCGCCCTGCAAGGGCCGGGGAAGGAAGGAGAGGGAGGAAAGGAGGAAAGGGGGGCCGGCCCCCTAGTCCAATTCAGTTTGGGCTAGGAGGGCCGCGCGCCCTGCCTCCTCTCTTCCACCACTTGGCCCATGAGGCCCAATACTTCTTCCTCGTATTCCCGTAACTCCCCGGTACTCCGAAAAATACCCGAATCACTCGGAACCTTTTCGATGTCCGAATATAGTCGCCCAATATATCGATCTTTACATCTCGACCATTTGGAGACTCCTCGTCATGTCCCTGATCTCATCCGGGACTCCGAACTACCTTCGGTACATCAAATCACATAAACTCATAATACCGATCGTCATCGAATGTTAAGCGTGCGGACCCTACGGGTTCGAGAACTATGTAGACATGACCGAGACACGTCTCCGGTCGATAACCAATAGCGGAACCTGGATGTTCATATTGGCTCCTACATATTCTACGAAGATCTTTATCGGTCAAACTGCAAAACAACATACGTTGTTCCCTTTGTCATCAGTATGTTACTTGCCCGAGATTCGATCGTCGGTATCTCAATACCTAGTTCAATCTCGTTACCAGCAAGTCTCTTTACTCGTTTCCGTAATGCAACATCCCGCAACTAACTCATTAGTCACATTGCTTGCAAGGCTTATAGTGATGTGCCTTACCGAGAGGGCCCAGAGATACCTCTCCGACAATCGGAGTGACAAATCCTAATCTCGATCTATGCCAACTCAACAAGTACCATCGGAGACACCTGTAGAGCACCTTTATAATCACTCAGTTATGTTTTTACGTTTGGTAGCACACAAAGTGTTCCTCCGGTAATCGGGAGTTGCATAATCTCATAGTCATAGGAACATGTATAAGTCATGAAGAAAGTAATAGTAGTAAACTAAAATGATCAAGTGCTAAGCTAACGAAATGGGTCAAGTCAATCACATCATTCTCCTAATGATGTGATCACGTTTATCAAATGACAACTCACGTCTATGGTTAGAAAACATAACCATCTTTGATCAACGAGCTAGTCAAGTAGAGGCATACTAGTGACACTCTGTTTGTCTATGTATTCACACATGTATTATGTTTCCGGTTAATACAATTCTAGCATGAATAATAAACATTTATCATGAAATAAGGAAATAAATAATAACTTTATTATTGCTTCTAGGGCATATTTCCTTCAGTCTCCCACTTGCACTAGAGTCAATAATCTAGATTACACAGTAATGATTCTACCACCCATGGAGCCTTGGTGCTGATCATGTTTTGCTCATGAGAGAGGCTTAGTCAACGAGTCTGCAACATTCAGATCCGTATGTATCTTGCAAATCTCTATGTCTCCCACCTGGACTTGATCGCGGATGGAATTGAAGTTGTAAGTGCATCTAGTGCCACCCCTAGTTGGTTTTGGAGTATTGACGACAAACCTGGTTGAGGGACTAATGTGTTTGTGAGAACTGCAGGATAACACAGGTAGAAGTCCCTCATTGATTCAGTTTTCCTACCAGAGATGACCCCTAAAAATGTATGAAGACATTGAAGTCAAAGGTGGTATGTGAAGACATTCACATTGAAGACTATGACAAAAGAAGACATCGCGTGAAGACTATGGAGCGCGAAGACTTAGTTGTTTCATCGTTCTTTTTCTTCTTTGTTGGGTCATAGGAACCACCGTACTGTTAAGTGGGGCCCAAGTGAACAAGTCAGAATGACTGAAGTGATGCTTAACCAAAATCATATGTCTTCGAGCAAAGACAATGAAAGCAAATCTTATCCAGAGCTGGATAAGTCAGCTTTTCTTGTAGCCCAAGTAAAGTTGTCGTGTGTGTTTGAAATCAGACCATTGGAACACGTGTCAGTTCCTTAGTGACCCAGAGTCATTTCGGACAAATCAGGTCGGGTTGCCTAGTGGCTATAAATAGCCCACCCCCTACAACCATAAACGGTTGGCTGCTCGGAGTTAGTGTACGACTTTTGTCGTTTGAGAGCAACCCACCTCGAAGCCTTTGAGAGAGAATTCCTTGCGAGGACAAAACCCTAAACAACCAGAGCCAAAGAGTGTTAGGCATCACTGAAGTCTTCCTGTCTGTGTGATCTGAAGACTTATTACACTTGAGGACTGTGAATCCTCCAGCCGGTTAGGCGTCGCATTCTGAACATCCAAGAGGCATTGTGGATCACCGATGAACGAAGTCTGTGAAGGTTTGGAAGTCTACCTTGAAGGCTTACCAGAGTGATTGGGCGAGGACTGGGTGTCCTTAGCTCAAGGGGAATAAGGTGAAGACGCGGTCTTCTGAGTTGAATCTCAGCCTCCCTAACCAGACGTACAGTTGTCACAACAACTGGAACTGGTCCAACAAAGCATTGTCTTCAACGAGTCATTGGTTCCAATCTTCCCATCTCTTGATTTACAGATTGGTCCTTGTGAAGTCATTGCCCGTTTGCATTATCTATTTGTCTTCACTGTGTGACTGCTTGTTCTGTTTGGCTTCGTACTATCTTTCATCCTGATCTATACTGCCTAGCTGCTATTAGTCTTTGTGCTTTCATCTGTTTGAATACTTGACTATGGCTTGCTTAGTGTAGTCTACCTTCCACTGCATGGTAATAGGTTTCTTTCTATCGTTTGTCTTCGAAACTTCCATGTTTTGAAGACTTTCATAAAAATCGCCTATTCACCCCCCTCTAGTCGATCACTAGCACTTTTAATTGGTATCAGAGCAAGGTACTCCATTGTTCTGTGTGATTCGGTTTAACCACCTGGAGTTTTAGCTATGTCGACTGCAGGGATAATCAAAGTCTCCGTTGCGTGCCAGTCTTTGATGGAACTGAATATCCCTACTGGAAGAATAAGATGCGCATGCATCTTGAAGCCATTGATGTCGACCTCTGGTATGTCGTCAAGAATGGCATCCCCAAGGCTGGTGAAGGTGTCACCGCTG